GGCCGGCCTTGCAGCGGCACGGCCGCAGCCCCGGACTGCCATCCGGCAAATCCGAACAGTGCTCGGATTTCAGTCATACTGCGGCCCACAGGACTGACACAACGAACAGTGCTAGTGAGCCGCGTGCAGACCGCAGCAAGGAACACGGGAGGTGCTCGACACTCGGCACAGGCAAGCATGGCGGGATCTGAGTGACGGACGACGACGCGACGACGAGAAAGCCACTGCAGAGGAGCGACGGAGGGAAAAACTACCAAGAGGAGGCAAGTGGGAAACGGGGGAAGAGCTACGAACAGCATGAGTGGCATAGACAAAGACCGAAGGTAAGCTAGAACACCACTCGCAGTCGATCGAGGCGCGCATACACGTCCAGTGCGCCGTTGAGCTTGCAGAATCGTACTTTCTGTACCGGCAGTTGGCTGGGCGAACGTTGGCCCAATGATTGGTCGGTCCGCAGCAGCCCGCACAAGGACAAAGTGGACTGGACGGAATATGGCTACAAGTTGGATTGCACGCAGTAGTCGCGTTGTACATCCTCCTCCTGAGGAGGAGGAGGAGGAGGAGGAGGTGGAGGAGGTGGAGGAGGAGGAGGAGGATGAGCAGAATGGGGATGAGGATGAGGAGGAAGATGAGGAGGAGGAATACGTAGGAGGAGGAGGAGGAGGAGGAGGAGGAATAGGAAAAGGAGCACGCTCCACCTCCCTCCCTCCCTCCCTCCCTCCAGTGCCCCGCAACCGCCACACCCACGTCCCCTGCGAGGCAGCGATCGGAGCTGGGACAAAAGAAACTGGAGAGGGGTGCGCAGAGCACTGGCGAGCGCACCCTCATGGTTGGGACAGCGTGCCTCGAAACGAAGACGCCATGGGAGACCTGCCTACAGGAGGAGGGAGGAGGAGGAGGAGGAGGAGGAGGAGGAGGAGGAGGAGGAGAAGGAGGAGGAGGAGGAGGAGGAGGAGAAGGAGCTCCTCCCGTATCAAACGCGCAGGCATGAGTCGAGACCGTGGGCGCATTTTGATCCATCGCCCTCGCTGCGTCAGAAACACTCCCACAAGTCGTAAGCGGCCTGGCTCGAATGGCGCGCGACACGCTCTGCTCAAGCTGGGCCAAGGAGTTCAGCACGATCCCGTCCCTTCCCACGGTGGTGGCGGCGGCTCGAACACGAGCTCCTTCTGCGCCAGGGTGCGGGCCGAGCTGCTCCGCGGTGTCGGCCCTCCCGCACGCGGACGGGCCGCCTCGAAGACCGCATCGTCCGCGAAACCCGCGGGGGGGGGTCCCGAAGATCACCGGCAGGGCCCCCGAGCCCCACACGTGATGTGACTGGCGCCTGGCGGCACAGCGTGAGCTCGACCTCGCCACGGTCTGGAACGTCACCACGCAGCCTTCCCTCGTGACGGCCGTCCGGAGTACGCTCCCCGTGGTGCTGTGCAGGGCCGGCACGCGGTGGACGCGGCAAGGAGGGCCCGCATCAGTCTGACGGGAACCCCAGCAGCTCGAAGTCGTCCTTGTACACATCCCGGATCAGCTCCTTCACCGCCTTCGACAAGTCGGCCTTCGCGAGCGCGGCACAGTCGCTTGGCGATGACATCTGCCTCTTCTTGCGCGTCAGCCGGTACGCATATCCCTTGCTGGACATTAGCTCGTTGAACTCGCTGACGAGGTTGCCGAACTGCAGCACGTGCTTGCAGCTTCTCATCGACCTGTTCACGACACCCAGGTCTGGATCCCAGCCGTACACCCAGGCGCTCTGAGGGAGCATGTGGCAGTCGTGCAGATAGTAGGCGGGTTTCTTCTTGTTGCTACCTTTCACTTTGGTGAGCCACTCTGTCAGCCTGACGTTCATCGTCTCAGGATTGCACGGGTGCACAGTCTTGTCGAACATCACGTTGCGGTACCCGTAGATGGAGATCATCCGCGAGAAGGGGTCCCGGACCACGCAGAAGGTGTCCTGCCCAGCGTAGAAGTCGATCACGTTGGGCGGCACGTGCTGCCCGTAGCACTTGGCCCCGGTCTTGTTGTTGATCATGGTCCGCTTGCCGCCTGCGTGCAGCACAGGGTT